AAGTCGGTGGATCGATCCCCGGCCACGTCATACCAAAAGACAACAGAATATGGAACTTGTTGTTTACTTGCTTGATGCCCGGCATTAAGGGGATAAAATAAGGACCAGTCGGCTAGGAGTCTGTGTATTGTGTGTTAGTATTGTGTCCATGTTAAACTGCGGCACACACACACACACACACACACACACACACACACACACACACACACACACACACACACACACACACACACACACACACACACACACACACACACACACACACACACACACACACAAGAATAATACATTGAACTTGATGTTGAACCCCATTTCACAACACCTCACCCATTTCCAGTTAAGATCAAGTCAAATTGAGCGAAACAGACATTATTTTACCCCCGCTCAAATAGCGGCATTAAGTAGTGAACGAATTGAACGATTTCGCTTGGTCCCAAAACTCGCCACTATTCAGAGAATGGGTGAAGGTACAGGTAAGGTGGGTTTTGCTCTATTTCACTCATAGCAATGCGAGTCAGCTCTGCGTGGTCGGACAAACCCCAAGTGGTGCATGTCTTACAAGTCCACCACTCTGGTCAAACCCACGAACACCGTTATGGTGCCGATAAACCAAAGATTATTATCAAAGCAAATCTCCGATTCGAAACCACGATTATATGATCCTGGAACCACCAAGGGACGCAACTCTGAACGAATCGTGGATTCCAAAAGGAACACTATAAGCCGACACACCTTGATGTATGTCAACAAAGAAGAAACACAATGCACAAGTATAATAGCAAAAAGGCTCTGTTAAAAATAACATAGTTGTTTTTAGTTACACCAACCAGATGATTAATATATTCTCCGAAAATGAGTCGAAATTATATTGATCAACTACATCATACCAGGAGCTACTTTCCTCTTACAGCGCATACAGCTCTTCGCCAGGAAATATACGCTATCAGCCGTCTAGCTAAGTCATCCTGGGATCTCGATTGTTTCCTCAAAGCTGCTGGACCGAAATAGGCGATGCTGAATCTATTCACAAAACGAGCTGTGTATTATGCAAAATATACACATTAAGTAAACATTACAAAATGCATTCAGAAAACACAAAAAGCTGCTACCTTTGAACACAAACGTTGCTATCATCACCATATGCCGAGTATTCATATGGATATGTCATATATGTTATCATGATATATTCCTAGTGATAACATTCAATACACATATATCATACATTGTTCGTTTAGGAGGATAAATGCGACCGTTGGTAAATATTTCCTTATAGTATTGTGGCTATGTAGGCCTATGTCAGCCAGGGCACAAATAAATGCTAGCTTATTTCAGGGTGTTGTCGAGCTGGGTCACCAAAATACATTTACGTGTTAATTTTTTTTTCCTTTTGTTTACGCATCAGTGACAACGATTATGTACGATGCAATTCCCCATTTTGACGTGTACCATATGTTTCTGTGCTTTTTTCAGGTGAACTGACTTGCCTTTGCATGTGTTTGTGACGGGTACCACGGGTCGGCAGGATAAGCTCATCTTTGCACGAACACCTGGTATCATCGCTATTTGATAGCAACTCAAAAACATATGATATAGTAGGAATCGTGCAATCGACTATACTCTCGGCATTTAAGGAGATATTAATTTTCATATGATTATGGAAATGTTTTTATGGTTTGCATTTACAGTGACATAGGGCCCAAACAACATGTGCTAGCCGTAGGTGGCGAATTAATGGATCGAATGGTCAGACGCGTTGACTTGGTTGATTTGCATGTCATCGTACCACACGGCGTGGAGCGTTGTTCATGATATCAATCACTGGTTTTCTGGGCGAGACTCGAGTATTCATATTTAATATTGCTGTATGGTGTTTAACAAAGAATACCATCCTTTCAAAAACATGAAACTCTGCGCCTACAAAATCAACCCTTTATGAACTGCGTGTTAGTCATGACTCGTAGAGGGGTACTGATGGTAAGCATGAGGCTTATTGCTCTTAACTGCACTGCCGGGCATAAGAAAGTAGACACCTATCTTTGAGGGTGGCTAATAATTGGTTGGGGGGTATGGGGTGTGGGGTATGGGGTATGGGGTGTGGGGTGTGGGGTATGGGGTGTGGGGTGTTGGGTTAGGGGTGGGGTGAAGAATTATCACAGGTGACAGGAGAGGTATCAGTTCAGAGTAATCCGTCTGATTTTAATGAGATTTCAGTATTCGTCAATCAAAAATGAAGTCCCGTATTTATCTATGAATCCTTGTCATATTTATTTTTTCAGATGCGTGACTTGTGAATGTTTTATTACGTCCTGGTAATAACCACGTGATTTGCCTAACACGCAAACACAATGCCGACAATAGGAAATTGTGATGACCACGATGTCGATACATTTAGAACGATGCAACCAAGCATGACAAAGAACAACTGACATGTTTATGGAATATCACTATGAGTAAAATGTTAACACAGTTTTCAATTTAGTACAGTCTCCACTGAAATGGCAAATTACCAGAACGTCGACAAGTCTCACACTTGACTTGCCTTTGCATGTGTTTGTGACCCTTGCCTCAGGTGGGGCAGGATACACTCATCCTTTCGCTAACACCTGGAATCATAACCGGTTGATAGTGATATTGTCATTAAATGCTTATGGTATTGTCGGGATCGTTTAATGATCTGTCGTCGATATATGGCTGAAATAATGCCGATGCAACGTTAAATTTTAACTCACTCACTCACTCCATGATCTGGTTATAACAGATTTATCTTATGATTATGAAAATGGTTTTGTCCATAATTTATCTTTGCCTGATATTTCATTGTGTATTCGTTAACGCTCGTTCACACCTTTCCCCACAAGTCAACGTTTCATAGTCACGTAAAATGGCACGTAAAAGATCTAATTTTCTACTGACGATTTGAAATAGCATCTCTTTATAGTCTGCATCCTGTAGGTGATATCCTCATCATATACTGACACACTCCTAGGACCAATTCACTACCTTTGCTTCGTTTACGTTTTGACCCCGTTCAGATTGCACGACGCAACAAAATAGCTATCTATGAATGTTGTTTAACGCTGCACTTGGCAATATTTCAGCTATATCACCGAGACCTGTATATAATCAAGTAACTGATCAAACTAGAGCTTGAAAGCATAAACACCAGTCCACGCAATCCATGCAACAAATTAAAGCCGCTACAAATTGCTAGTTATTTGTGTTGGTGATTTTCAATAATGCATTCACTAATTAATCATTTGTTTTATTGAATTTACAATCCAAGATCAAGAATGATGATCTTTGAAAGGCATTTAGCAGTGATACACATAAGGAAGAGAATATATGGATGTCAACCTCTGTATCATAAGGAACACAACGTTTCGGAGTATATGCTTACTCCTTCATCAGGATAACTCATTCACCTGATGATGGAGTAGGCATATAACCCGAAACGTTGTGTTCCTCATAATAAAGAAGTTGGCATCCATATATTCTCTTCCTTAAGAATGATGAGTAAAGAAACCTTTGAAACCGAAATGTTTGTATTCCTATTTCCGCTTATACGGAGAAATAATATATAAAAATCACGTAAGAATACCCTAATTGTTAAGCGAGTTAAATGACACCAGCATTCAACATCTGACAGCAATGATATCAATAACAGTAAGAGGGGCAGTATCAACACACGTCACATAACACTTCTAAGTTGTAAATAATTAACAGTGCCGTAGCCAGCCCGTGGGGGGGGGGGGGGGGGGGGGGGGGGGGGAGTCCCTCATCCTCCCCCCCAGTGGAATATATATAGAATATATAGTATATTTGAATCAAGTTGGGGACAAGTGATACTTGTGCAAATATTTGTTAAGTTAACTACGGCCTTGATTTAACAATACATTTTCCGCTCCGTTGTGTTTATTGAGGAAAATATATAAATATATTGATTAAATTATCAAAGTTTAAATTCACTCCTGGCATTGGTGACTTCGGATCACACTCATATTTTGTATGTGTGTATGTTATTGACATTTTCGCTGCTTAAGATATTATTATAATAATAGTGGGGCACATTGCATGACAGATATGCAAATATACATGTCTCAACTCGATCAATACGTGGGCGCAGAAAACCCCGCTGCTTTCAGGTTTCTCACTGGCTCATCAAGTCTACTCAACCAGCAAACAATCGGTGACGTGGAGCAAAGCGATTGGCTCAATTTCCAACTTGTCAAAGTTTATGCCACGTGACTTCCTTCTTTTCTAAAAATAACTACGCGGTGGTTTCCCGTAGGGCCTAACGTTAAGACCTGCTTAGTCTGATATTCCTTATTTACAACACAGTGACCAAACCGAATAGACGCGTGCAGTACAGCAGACAAGGTAATTGAAACACCTTGTTTACAAGCGTAGGCTTATTGTTTTAATATCATTGTATGCCTACGCCTTCCTTTGATGTAGTCGCGTTGTGATTATGGGGACTTTCTCACACCCACAACGTATATTTTATACAGAAAGTATTGGTTTGGGTTTGGGTTATTAATCATATTTATATAATGTTTTGATATTAATTTTGTCGATGTATGAGATGCACGTGATAACTTGACTTGCTTTTGCATGTGTTTGTGACGGGTGAGACCACTAGGCAGGATACACCCACAGTCACGCGAACACCTGGTATTATTACAATTTTGTAGTGATTCATATCATCGGAATTGTATAGACTCTGCTTTTAGAAGAGATTTCATGTGATTATTTGGGTTTTGTCGATTTTATATACCATCCTGGATTAAACAATTTCTCCGAAGTTTGTAAAAGGAAAAGATGTTGATATAAAAAACAGCATCGAAGAAGAAGTTATAACACCAGACAGTGTGAAGTGTTTCATTGTGATGAAGTAAGTAACCTTAAATGCTGAATCATTCGAGAGTCGATGTTAATATAAGCGAGAAAAAAATTTCCATATCCATCAGAAACCTTTGCTAAAAGCAGATTCTACGATCCCGCCTATATCGGATCGTGAGCCTGTGTTTAGGAATGATGCTTATACTGATGACACTAGGTGTCGTGAATAGGGAGCATATCAGTGCTGAAGTGTTCGCTGATAAAAAGTTGAATATTTTATATTATTTTGTCAGATTTCCACATTCAACACTTCTCTGGTCTTTCATACAGGCCTGCTTTCTGGTGGGGGATTCGGTGTTCACATGCATCCATCTCCGTGTTTCTCCATCACTTAGGAGAAACAAATCATGCCTAACGGCGTATGCCAATCCCACAGGAAACATTTTGGCGATAAAAGTGTCTGTCAACAGTCTGTCGTAAATTGTCCTGCGATAATGCAACTCTGACCTAAATCCTGTTCGACAATCTCAGTGCGGTCATCGGAAATAGTCAGAAATATCGTTCGTCCACATTTCTAAGGAACAGTCAGTTCATCGAAGTACTTGAGGAAATAAATCAGAACTTTCTGTGAAATGTATGTAACATCACCAGCTGATCATGAGACACTAGCATTAAATGTAGTTTCGTTTCTGGAAATTACCAGTTTAATTTATTTCCCCGTCGAGCTGGAACCAACACGGGCTACAAATACGTCGATTGTTCTGCTGTGTTAATCACACACTTGGGCTGAACAAGAAATATATACTTCATTCAAGACATAGGAGAGTGAAGGGTCGTTTGGGAATTCTGAAGGTAACTTGTTATTGCAGGCTGGTTTTAAATAGTGACGTCCGTGTTGTGTTTGTTTAATATATTTTAGGCTATATACATTTGTAGCTTTAGCTATACAGTTAACTACGTTTATTACGAACACGCTTATAACAACGGATATAACGAACTGTTTTGTTTTTTCTCAGCCATTTGCTTTGTATATGTATGCTTATAACGAACAACGGTTATAACGAACTAAAATTAGTGGTCCCTTTGAGTTCGTTATAACCGTAGTTTACTGTACTTTCATTATTAGATCTATGGAATATTTACAGCAGCATTGGATACACATGCATATAATTCGAATGTTGACTTAGTTTGTTTTGTGATTTGCACAAATCCTGCTGTGACATGTTCAGATTAAAAAGGCGTCTACAGGGAAGTTGTAATACGATGAGAGTACCTCGCATCGCGTGTCAAATGTTTATATATTTACCAACTCAGACAAGGTTTTCGGTTCCGGGATGATATTTTAAACGAGTGTTTTCCTACAGCATGACTTTATGTCACGCATACATTTACGTATCATGCTTTTTACTCGACCTTGACCTAGATGATGAGCACTTCATCATGTTTTCCTCATGGATGACGGACCGCCTCCGTGGTCTAATCGTAGAGCGCCCGCCCGGAGCGCGAAAGGTCTGGGGTTCGACGTTAAAAGATGGTACTTGTTGTTACCCTGCCTGGCGCTCGGCACTAAGGGGCTAAAACAAGGACTGGTCGGCTCGCAGTCAGTATTCTGTGTTTGAGTGGGGTATTCATGTTAAACTGCGGCATGGTATCTCAGTGAACTGGCACTATAAATCAGCATCTGTCCGGACTAGTACAAGCAGACACACACACACACACACACACACACACACACACACACACACATACACGCATGAGCGTGCATGCATGTCGCTATATAAGTGCAAATATCCTGGACGCGACGTTAAACCCCATTTCAACCCCAAACTAATATGTAGTGCTCAGTGTATCAATCCTCAGTGTATCAGATGTTTCTTGTGTGTCATAGTACGCCGATGGCGTGGTTCGATGCTCTTACTCTCAGTGACTGGTTGCATGGCCCAGACTAAGTGTTTACTGGAGGTTTTCCAATAGTCAAATGTCCCTTAATGTTAGCAATATTTCAGAAGCTCCGTCTTAGGTATCAGATTTGGGGTATAATCGAACATGGTCCTTCTACGATGATTTCACAGAGCACCCGCGCCCCCTGCTCAAAAGTTGTTTTAGCCTTAGTAAAGTTTTCAAAATGTTTTCTTTTTCACATTTGACGCATCAGTGACAATAATGATGTCCGATTCAATTCCCTATTTTGTGTTGTTCCCGTGTTCAGGTGGACAGTTGACTTGCCTTTGCATGTGTTTGTGACAGATGCAGGATACCCTTACCATTTCGATTATTTACAAGCCAACGTCGTACAAATGTCATATTGCTGAGTGCGGCGTTAAACAACAACATATTCTGACTCTATTGAATGGTTGTTTACAGGTTGGCGGTCAGATCTTCACGACAGCGTCAAGTGTCAAGTACATGGATAACAACCCAATCAAAACAGATTCAGCTTCGTATTCAGATACATATTCCCCCGCAACAATGAATGCCGTGCAGTCCAACCCCCAGTTTCACATGTCGCAAGCCGGACCTCACATGATGACGCATCTAATACCAGTGACGTCACACCTCCCCCCGCAACCTGAGTCGACCGCGGGTGTGTCCCAAGCAGAACTAGGTAAGACGTTTCAAATGTTTCATGGTGTTTCAGTCTGCATCTATCCTGCCTGAAGCTTCTCTGACTTCTCTATTGTATGCGTGCGCTGATTAATCTGGAACTACTAAATATTAACAATCAGGAAAACATATATATAGTTACACATTGAGTTACTGAAAAGAGGGAAATTATTATGTTGTTGATTTTATAGGATTCCTTCATCCTCTGGGGGTAAAATTAACTGTATAACTGCCATATATGGTCTGAAACTAGAGGGCGGTGCCTTCCTATATGGTTCTTGTTATACATTCTAAATAACATAGTAAAAGGTAGAATACTATTTTAAGAATTATTTTCTGACGGCTGCATATCTGTTGACTGTGTTTATATACTAGTGGGTTCCTAACATGTAGCGGTATCGGTAATGACGTATAGACTTTGTTTCCTTGAGGGTTGTTTTTTTATATAAATTGCTACTGGATGGCAACCTTCACTAGTAAGTGCCAATATGGGACTCGAACTCGTGTCTCGTGGGTGACAAAACCAAAGGTTGAATCAATCTCGCAATACAGAGTTATTTCCCTTACCGTTTATGATCCACTGGGCGTGTGTTTGTCACAGATTGAGCCAAGCAGACAATTCTCGACTCTTCATACGCGCTTTATCTGATTGTCTCCCCTTCCTATGTGCTTGCAGAGTTCTTGGTGTCCTGTTTAACCAAAATCGCCTGTTTCCCCATCGGATATGGTACAGAACAAATAGAAAGTATGTAATATAGATTATATCATATTATTAGTTATTATGCGAAATAATTTATATCATTATTTTTAAAAATACGAATTTGACAAGAATGTATTTTGATGAATTCGTTTTTGGAAAGTTTTAAGTCAAACCTAAGGATTTTATCATATATTTTTAAATGGGTCTGGTAAAATTCAATTTGTAATGATTTTCTTTCTGTTTTCATAATGTTTGAGAAAGATTCATTTCTTTTTATCTTCTTTAAAATTTGTTTAAGATTCTTATTTACGTAAACATGTGTGTTACAGGTACACGTAAGATCTGTATTCACGTATTCATGTATTATACTGACAGTTGTTAAAGTTTCTGCATTGTCGACAACTTCATTAATCTTCATTGGAAAAAAACTTCAAATTTATTCAGATATGCAAATAATGAAAGCCAGCTGTTTGTATAATGTCTCGTGTGAATGTACAAAGCCTGGGTCTGTGCCATCTCCGCTAGCGGAACACGGCGTAACGCAAATGCTTTTTAGCCTTCATATTAATACATGACAGATGATATGTATTTCATGATAAACGTGTATATCTGAAATTATATTTATACATGACAGTCAATATGTATTTCAATATCCTTTTGTTAGCAGGTGGAAATATTCCATTATTTGAAGAACTGATCGATAGCTCAGACATGGCATCAAGACCTGACAACCCAACGAGGTCAAATATTGAAACAGCGTCGTATAGTGGTAAGTGTCATTCACCGACTATTAAATGTTGGCAGGATCGCATGTATCATTAGGCTGCATCGAAACAATAACATGACTTTGAAAGATATGTTTTCAAACTGATGAGGTAAGATAGACTAAAGTTCGTGATAGTTATGACAGGAAAAGTAATTGTATTGTTTCCCTGTCAAAATGTAGGTTTGTATTGCTCCAGAAGTATTTGATTTGCATGGCATTTGATTAATCGTACAGAACTCGTTTTTATCCGAGTGCCCACTCTATTTTATTAAAGCTAGCACCAGTGAGATGGAGACTGCAGCAAGATTTGTCCAAGAACTTTTACACCCCAACCCCCAGACTGAAACACAAAATCCCCACTCCGGACGCCAAGACTTCACGCAGACAAGACATTCAGGCATCCCAACGTCATCTTCTCCAATAGGTCAAGGTCATCAAGTTGGAAGTCAAAGTCCCCAATTTGAAGGTCAAATCTCTCCATATGGAGGTCAAAGCCCGCCGTTCTCTGGTCAAGGGTCACAGTCAGCGATGGAGTTCTACTATCCGGTTGTGGAGAATCCAGATCACCGATCATCCCCTCAAATGCTCCCTGTCATCGAGATGGGGTTCCCACAAGGTCAAGGTCAAGGTCAAGGTCAATGTTACATGCATGATCCCGGGGCAACATCTCAAGGTGATTAATTTCTCTCTGTTTTCACACGTTACATGGCATTGACGAAAACAGGAAAGAGTGTATTTCTTTGCTTTCGTAAAGGCCTTTAATTAATCGAGTCTGATAAAACAGACCAGTAGCTGGTACCAAGAATATTTGCGGTGACATGGATCCATCCCTGCAAAACACTAACATTTTAACAAATACTGGCTTCTGATTGGTTAAAGAGCGGGGAGTTATTTTCCAAGTAGCTCGCACGTGTAGCCCGCTGGGAAATCTATCGTAACACAACTTAGGTAACTTGCTTATCTCGCATAAGTATCATTGAGTTTCTGACATGAACCGATGTTTCCCGAATGCATTGGGTAAAGGGAAATAACTCTGCTCGTTTGCGTCGTCTGCTACGAGTTTCGATGACTCGATGAAACTGCGGACATGGTTTCCGGACCTGTATAAATGCATGAATGAATGTCGGAAAGGTAAATTCATTGTCTGCCGATCCCTCGGGGCATATGGTGTGATATCCTGTGTGCGAGCCTATATGTGAGAGCCTGGCGACTCGGTGTCCATAGTCTCACGCAGTCACATCACACCATATGCCTCTCGAGATCGGCTGACAACAAATAATTTACACTTTATAATGCATACTATCATATTGTCTTATCGATACGGAATTCACAAAGTACGCTTCGACCACCATAGAATATATCTTTTTCAAATTTGAAAGCAAGATGAAATAACAAATGATTTAAAAAAAACATAAAATGGTCAGATCGGTGGGTACTCATACACACACTGGAAGAAGAGTAAACAATCTCAAGCCATTAACATGCACAATTATTGTCTGCCGCAGCCAATGATTCAGTAAGGGGATGTAACTCTTGTAGACCAATAGTTGGAAGAGGAAATGTACATTACTTGAAGCGTACATACAATCACCATGAGGAAATTTTGTTGGGTCACTTCCCTTATGTTGAATCCTGTTTGTCCAGTCAGTGCCTGACTACATTCACATTAGCCTCTGAAGTTTGCTTCATCGAAAACTCAAACTTTTCCAGTTAAAAGTTTTTTGTTTTTACAAAACCATTATTTTTTTAATATTCTGTCCACGAATCTTGCAATTTGCTTAAATATGGGTTAAATTGTACAGTTATGCATTTGAAAGCAATATTCATTTTACAAAAGTGGCTTTATATCTTCTTTGAGAGGCATTAGAATAAGTAAGGATAAGATATATGGATGAACAACTTCTTTAGTTGATATCTACTCAGCTGCTGAAACACTGCCTCATACCTGTAAAATTGCTTGTCAACCATATTCAGTGCATCATTTGCTTGATAACGGCGTCAGAACCTCCTCCATGCGTCGCTACTTATTGTAATAAAGAAATTGTTCATCTATATATGCTTACGTACTTGGCTTAACGTCGTTTGGTGAGATTCATCACAATGCTTTACTGACCATTGTGATGTCATCGGGTACAATTAAATGACATCACTAATCACTCTGCCGCTGAAGCTGATGAGCTGTACCTTGTACAATCAAGACACTATATTATACTGTTTATAAACTTAAAAAGTTGGAAGAATTATTTTGCATGATAAAAAGGATCTCATGCTTTGATATTAAATATATCAACACTCGCCAATAAAAGAATAAAATCCCCCCCCCCCCCCTCCCTTCTCTCTCTCTATTGTCCGACATGGGCCAGAAGCCAAAGAATCATACCCCAGTCTATTTATCAGCAACGTGTCAGTGTGTCAACTTTCTTTTTGAACAAAAGACGAATATACTTTGTCGTCATTGGTCCACGATCGGTCCATTCGTAGCTCGTGGATTATCTTGTTTACCATAAACCCCTAAAAAATGTGTTACCTAATCTTTAAAGAAGACTGCGCATCAGGAAACGTTGCAAGTGTTTAATTCGCCATTCAGATTGGCTCACAATCAGAACCTGTAATAAATTCTTCCTCTACTAGCTACGTGATGCTTCACGCACAATACAAGTACCCTAGTCCCTCACATGTTTACATTTCTTTCAACAAGTCGTGACTCAGGTGGCCTAAATTTGGATTCTAAAAATAAATCTGAGTTTTCCCAATAACAATGAAATAGCGCAGACAAAAGTGACGGGAGTTCCCCTACGCACAATACGGACCAATCAAAATGCTTCATTCGTTTGCCAGCCGGTGATTAGCTACGAACCAAGTTTGGTTGTTAACAGTTAGTGAACTGGGCCGATGTGTATGGAGCGGAACGACTTACACACCTGTTAACAGTAAAGCAGTCTGATGTATTTTGACACGCTCAAGGGAACCTTCGTGGGGGAATTTAGCCAGATAAATAGCGTGCATGACAAGGGAGGTTTGTTATTGAATCGTTAGTTACACAGTGTTTGTTGTTTCATAGTGCACGTTGTATTAGACCACTTATGCGGTATCGTGGACAGAGCGTTTGCCTGGAGATCGGAAAGTCGGAAGTTCGCTGTCCGGTCGCGTCATACCAAAATACGTTAAGATATGGTACTTGTTGTTACCCTGAGTGACGCTCGGATTGAGGGGCTAGAACAAGGACTGGTCGGCTTGGAGTCAGAATACTGTGTCTGAGTGGGGTGTTCATGTTAAACTACGGCATATTATATGACTCAGTGGGTGAGCACTAGAAAATCGGCATAAGTCCGGACTTTACAAGAAGCCCCCCCCCCCCCCCCATCCCGCACACGTTGCAGCGTTAAACCCCACCACGTCACCTCAGCTAACCTCTACCGTGATTAATGCCATTAATATTAATGTTGTCTTCTTGGTGTTTTTCTTCAAGTGTCTACAAATCACATGTGTTATTATGATGTGTGAAGTGCACAGTTTTGTAACTATTGTACAATGGCGTTACTATGTCACTCGTGCAATCGTGATCGATCGGTGTAGGTGCTTTTCTGATCTGACATTTTGATTAATGAATGTTGATACATCGGGACAATATGGACATAAATACACAAACAATTTCCTACTGAATATATAACAGTCATTGTAAACAACAGTAGTGGCTTGTATTAATCACCCATGTACACAACAGCTTGTTGGCCAAGGGGAACGTGGTTGAGTGAACAACTTATCAATAATTAAAACACAATTCCCCTCGTATCTACTGCCCTTTGTGTGTCATGTTTGAGGCTAGGGATATTTGTTGGTTAGATGTGACAACTTTACCGAATGATCAATTTCGTAGAGGCTCAATTTCGGAATCAGATGCTATTTGGAAGAATGACACATTTCTTTGTTGTTTGTAACGACGTGTCAGAGATCCTTCTTATCTTTCTTTGGGGGAAAACGTTGTTACGAATAATAAATGATTTGTTATCGATCCACATTTGCATGTACGTTTTTGATGTTCACCAACTTCTAAAACGGCCGTTTACACGTGTGGATTACGGGTAAAAATATATGTCCCCATCCAAAATGCTTGTCGTACGATGCGAATGAATAGATCGAGTGGTCATGTTCGGTTCATTGAATGTCATCGAAACTTGCGTGATTACATGCTGATGATGTCAGTCACTGGATTGTCTGATTCAGACTCGATTATTTAAAGACAGTGCCATAAATTGAAATAAGTGCGACATAGGGCAAAAAACAAGTGAACATTGTAAATGCTATCAAAGACTTCAGATGCTATGTAGATTAAGTGCATTTCGTTCATGCTCTTTGCATCTAAAACTGTACCCAACTTTACCAGGTCACGTGTTCATTTCAGAAGGTCAGCCCCGGCTGTGGAAGTTCATCCTTGACCTTCTCGAGGACCCCCGTTATAACCCCTCCTATATCGCTTGGGTCAATCGCCAGGAAGGCATCTTCCGGCTCATCGACCCACAGAGGCTGGCGGAACTTTGGGGCCACGTGAAGGGAAACAAGAGCATGAACTACGAGAAGCTAAGCAGAGGGTTGAGGTGAGTCCATATGTAAATTTCTTCAAATGTTATATTTAATTCCTTGGGTGGCCAAATGGACCAGATCGCAGTTCGCTGTTGAGTCCCTTAGTCGCACCAGGATCCGTTGATCACAAGTATTATTGCGCGTTTGTTCGGCTGGTAGAGGTGCTTTAATCCCAATACATATCCGATAACATATAAGGGTGCGACACTTAGATTGAATACGGTATATTCATGTGCCTATCACACCCCCTCAGTGCCCTAAACATGCATCACCGTGCAGTGCATGGCTGTGTTGTTTACTCACATATCAACTTGTAGGAACTTCTTTGAAGATCTTTCCGTGGGTCTAGCGTCTCGAGTTGTGACCGGAGCTGCTGCCTAAAAACCTCCTACTTAATAATCCATATCGCGACAACCTAGCCATTCGCAAATATTTGCACATGTCTAACCTTGAAAAAAGAAAATTCGTGAAAGGGGATTAAAAACACGATTAGATATTTAATTCGTACGTGACACATATCACAAGTAAGAACAACCTGTTTCGATTATCCGACGAAACAGGTTATACTTGGCGTAAAAGGCAGAATAGCGGTGAAAATTGTTTGAATGGACACCTGATGTTCAGGAGTGACACCAGTTGTTCGCACACCATTACTGATGTCTCATTACTGATATCTCATGCGTCATTGCTCCCATATGTCTCAACCCTTCACGCCCCGTCTCTATGTATCACGTGTTCGTTGGCTGTCGGGGGCACGGGTGGCCCAGTCGTCTAAGGCGCCGCAATTTGCTGTGCAGAATTGCGTCCCTTGGGCACGCCAGAAGCCATGATTGTGGGTTCGAATCCCTGTTCGCCCCGATTATGTTTCTACCAAGTCTCACTTGCTTCTCATGTCTCCCACTTCCGTCATGTCTTTAGTGTCTCTTCTGCTTCTCGTGTCCTCTATGTCCCACACGTGTCTCATGTCTCTAACTGTTTGATTGTTTTAGGTACTATTATACACACAACGTCTTGGAACACGTTCCTGGGAAACTGGTTTATAAGTTCAGCCAGGGCGCACAGGTGTGGCAATACCTCTCCCAGACGTCGATGTCCATGACCCCCAGAACAGTATCCAGCACGGTGACGTCACAGTGCCACTACCCTCCTCATACGTCATATTAGATGACGTCATTCATGTACTTATTCATACTTAAACTCAAAGTCATCTAGTCAAGATGCAGAGACGCAGAGATGCGTTCTTTTAGCGCCGTGTTACGGCTGCTAAGTAACGTCCCTGTCCCAGGCTTCAAGACTTGGCACACCCCGATGCATGTTTAAAACATGCGTCTTTCTGTAACGGGTACTATTTTTCTGATGCGTATTGGTGATGTTTTGGGTTCTGTGTTAGTTGTCCCTAGACTTTCAGAAAAAGTGCCATCCTTCATGGCTGTATACCACTACGCCATGCATGTGTAAACCGGCTCAGTGACATGATATCTACACAGCTGTGTGGACATGTCTCATGACATAGGGATTTGCACGAAAACTTAGCAAGGGCCAGATCTGGGATACCTCCTGTATACACATGAACCACATGTGTGAAGGAGGTAAGCCAATTTGGACGAGTGCTACAGCAGAACCAATCAGTTAGGTTGTTTAACGTATCCTCTATGAGGACTTTCATCGACAATCATTCCATGTGCAAACTGGGTTTTATGAAACAAATTAAATTTGACAGTATGCAATGAAACCTCAATATCTCAATTTCGAAATATATAACGCTGCTTATCTTATCGAGATTTCAAGTATCGTGTTATTTTGTAACGTCATTCTAATTTTACACATATCCAGGTTGTTTTAACACTGGTGTCCCCTGTGCGGAGAGAGACGCCGATCGTGACGTATTAAGGTCACGTGTTACTTTAGGTCTTGCAGCCTTTGGGTATCGCTCGTTTGTGTTCTTTAAATATAATTCAAGTCAATCCGACGTTAAACCAAAATGTCCAGATACTGCACAATCAGTTACAGTAAACTACGGTTATAACGAACACGCTTATAACGAAATGACGGATATAACGAACTTTTTTGGTCTCGACAAATTGCTGTAGTTATGTTGTATATGTGCTTATAACGAACTACGGAACTCAAAATAGTAGTCGCTTTGAGTTCGTTATAACCGTAGTTTACTGTATATGTGTAGCCTTAAAGAATGAACGAATCAAATGAGTTCGAGATAATGAGGTGTTAACGTATACGAATTGTCGCTTGAAGTTTTAATGCAACTTTGAAATTAAATCAAAATTACTGTGCAATTATCCAGTGTTGCTGTTAAAGTCACATTTTCTTCATCTAAGACTGCTCCGGTGTCGTAGTTATTATGTCATCGGAATTGTCCAGGAATTGTTAAACTAGACCAAACAGCCATATTACTAATGAAATCAGCATCTTCCAAAATATCCGTTTATTTCAATATCTTGGCCACCGTACTCATTTGAGTAATTTTGGTTTACTGGTGAGTGTTTCATATTGCCCAATGCACAGCGCTCTGCGACCACAACAAATAAACTACTTTTCCGAATCAAAGTTTTCTGCTCATCGAATATCCTTTTTTATGTCAATTATTTCTGAAATCACTCTATTTGCAACCAAGTTACCCCCCCCTTTCTTAACATGGCTTTCGAAATCGGCGAAGCTCCAAACAAATTCACAAGATGAAAAAAGTTAACTTTTTCAAATTGTGCTATCTAATCATAATTATAAATGCCCCTTGTTTGTGTAAGAGGATTATACCCTCGCCCTGTTATATTGATAATAGCGAAGAAAAAAATGTTAAATTTGTTGTGGCCTACAGGAGCAAATACACAAGCGCTTTGTTTACTGCGGTGCTAAGGATAATTTTGTGTATGTATGTTAAACTTGTGTAAATTATTTCAAGATTTGTTATCGCTGATGTCAGATATAGGCATCATTTCTTTTGAGTGACGTATGATGATTTATCAATGACGTATAACTTGTGTTCTTGGTTTGTTGAAATTAGAATTAAATCACGTGTTAGTTATTGTCATGTATTGTCCAGATATAGTCCGGATTGCCAAATGTCCGCATTACCGAGTCACTGGTATACGTTACGTCCTTTAAGTCGTGCGGAATAATGGAGTTTCCGAACAAACGGAGTGTGACGTCATCGCTAAGTGTTCTGGCCCACAATAGTAACAAGCAATAAATGATTTATAAATCAAGGGAAGATCACTCTATCTAACCATGACTGCCGGATTATGTCCCTTGGTGTACATTATAGGCAAGACACCTGTAATACATTATGGGACATAATGTAATGAGGTTAATTTTTTTTATTATTAATATCCCAATATTAAATACATCTACATCAAATATTAACGAGCTGAAAATCCGTCCATGTTTCCAAGTTTATTAATTAAATATCCATCATCATTCCTCAAAAACATGTTATTGTTATATTTACAATAATCCTAAAAAGTCACCCCGTTTGTTATTTGTGATCGGAAATACAAAGATATAAAAGTATTTGGTATTCGAACTATATTATGCATCCTTTTATGAAAATATGTTGTATACTTTTGTGAAGTTTCTTCACACTAAAATCATACCTTTGAAGATATACTGCTCAACAATTGATATGCATATTGCTTATATTCAATTGTGCGAATTCTCATGATGTAATAGTGTGAAATATATCAATATTTGTTTCCTAATTTAGGTAAAATGTACGGTTTATACTAGCGAAATACACAAAAGGTTCATGGTGGTTTTACAATTAATTCGATACAGTTAATAAGAAGAGGAAGATAGATTTAGAATACATAAGTAAATAAATCACCATTGATTAATTGGTCAAATGGACAGTGCTTCAGCAATGGTACTGATGACAACTGTTTATCCAGTCTTGTATGTGGATCAAAGAGTTCATCAGAGCAATAAACGTCACAAAAGAGACCCGTGGTCCTATCAAACTGCCTCTTAACGCCTAAGTTGTCAAATATGATTGAATATATACATTAACAATTCATTACCTACATAGCAAAGGCGAGACTTATGATCACCTCCACGTCATAGTGGGAAAAGCAGGGAGTGAGAGTTGCCCCTTGGCTACTTCCACTAGCGGCAGGCAATCACTCACGACTCGCACGTTACATACCTTTGATTGTATAGATATAATTGAAAGAATATGATGAAAAGGATTATTGTATCATTTGTATATAATATGTTGATTTTTGGTTTTCGTTATGACAATTATTCCCAGTCTGCCTGCATTTATGTTTATTGATATGGTCTGGTGGTTACGTACATTGAACACGGATCTATTCACCTGATCATGATCTATTGTACTTAGTCGATGATAATACATCAACAAACCAACATTCGTGATGTTATATTATGTATTGATTGATAATTTATTGTGAATAAAATCTGCAAAATATGTTTTGAATGTCCTATTTTGTTCTTCCACGTACTCTATCGTGAATGCTGCACTTTCTAGTTTATCATAATCATTATCATAATCATCATCATCACCATCATCATCATTATCATATCATGTACAGATTAATGTAAAAAATGCAGCAAGGAGGGTTTGGGTGATCCTGGCCCAGTTAACCTGGTAAGGGTTATCATCAAGATTGTCAGAAGGGCTGTATTCCTGGCAGCAAATCCGGGTACTCTTCTTCCTGTTATTATTATCATTTATTAAGCAAACGTTACTAATTGTGTATTTCAAGGAAGAAAAAGAAAGGGATAGTAAGCACCCCTGTTACACCCCTATATGCGCCTTGGGCATTTTCATGGATAATGATCTTGATTATGTTAATAGGAGAACCTCGGGGTAACTAATCCCCCGTCAATCACAACGTGCAACGTGAATCACACAGGTACGTACCGGTGAGCCGTTTGACGTGGTACTTGTCCATGCCGGCCTGTTGGTAATTTGTAATTATCTAATGACGACTAACATCGTAACTTGCATGGTTGTCATCTGAGAGAAACACCGTTTATCCAGACGACTGCGATCCCCGTGAAATCATAACAGATTATGGAATAGCCGGATAAACGAACTATTGGTACTGGGTAATATATATTTCTATGTACTCATACCCAGATATCTTTTTGATACCTTATCCGGTTGTTTTCCTTTCTTTTTATTTTATTATAGTGGATAGAATGAAACAATATTTCTTTGGCTATTAAAATATGTTTTTTAACAGATGTTGCCCATTGAGTAACATAAATCATCTGCTATATGGCGGATCTACTTTATTGTGTGAGTGAGTGAGTGAGTGAGTATCGTTTTACGCCGCTTTTAGCAATATTCCAGCAATATCAGGCGGGGGACACCAGAAATGGGCTTCACACATTGTACCCATGTCGGGAATCGAACCCGGGTCTTCGGCGTGACGAGCGAACGCTTAAACCACTAGGCTACCCGACCGCCCACTTTATTGTGTGGACAAGAGGATTGAGCGAATGTTTTATGGTGTTTTTTTACTCATTGGAAGAGTGAGAAGTGGTTCGTTGTGTAATCGTGAGTGTGTGAGTGGGTGAATAACGTGACGGTCGAATCGGCTGGGGGCGGAACAGGTTTTGAGATTTTGTTTGTAAAATCATATATATTACATACCGATAAAGTCAACTGCATGCATTTAAAAAAATTAAACAACACTACCTACGTCCTTGTAAATCCACTATTCCCGACAGAATGTGAAGAGGATATCACCTTTGATGACAAACCACGCCCACATAGATGTCAGTTAAAGGACCGTCTCCTTTCCTTGATCTCAAATACTCCTGAAGGTCAAGGTTACTCTTTGCATAGCATGCCAGTAAAAATGATTTAATCTGGGGGTATTTATTTTATTGACAATATGAGGTGAGGTGAGGTGAAATTGGGTTTAACGTCGCGTCCAAGATTATTGCACTTATATAGCGACGTGCATGCACGTGTATGTGTGTGTGTGGCTGCTTGTACTAGTCCGGACTGATGCCGATTTATAGTGCTAGCTCACTGAGAAACCATGCCGCAGTTTAACATGAATACCCCACTCAGACACAGTATACTGACTCCGAGCCGACCAGTCCTTGTTTTAGCCCCTTAATGCCGAGCGCCAGACAGGGTAACAACAAGTACAATCTTTTAACGTCTTTTTGTATGACGCGGCCCGGGATCGAACCCTGGACCTTCCGCTCTCCGGGCGGACGCTCTACCACAAGACCACGGAGGCGGTCTATTGACAATATGAAGTACCATGGGATGAATATAATCATGGCCAAATACCTGACATACACTCTGAAGGGATGTCCTAAGTGTTTATGTTAAAGATGTTATATAATGTCAAACACGATGATCTATTTGTCCATTTGTGAGTGAGCGGTGATAGGCCTCTTTTAGGAGCATTCCAGCAATATCACGACTGGGACACCAGAACGGACTTTGCACATTGCAACCTTGCTGAGAATCGAACCCAAGACATATCTGTTACGAGCGAACACTTTAATCACTGGGCTACCTCACCGCCCCCATTTGTAAGTGAGCGAGGGTTATCGTCGCTTGAAACAGGTTTCAATTTCTATTATGGCGTGAGGTTAGGGGTGGAGGTGGATATGGGGTGGTTTTATGATAACAATCCCTCATAATAGTGATGCATCACTTGGGTATTTTCTCAACCATGCTGACTCACCGGGTGATATTGTGGACGGACTCTAACCCAGCCTACATGTCACATCCTATATCAGCAACGTACCGATAACTATTCCAGCTTGAAAAACCGACTGCACTGTTAATCTTTAAAAATAGTCGTGTAATTTACTGAAAAATAATGACAGTGCTTCGTCGTAATATCCGTATACGGTAGAGTACTATCAAAATATCACAGTAAATAACAACTGTGTCTTTCCGTGTTCTGCAAATTTAGGTTTTCATTTGAACAGAAGCATTGTGGTTTTGTCTTCATTGATTGTTGAGACATATTCGGGTCATGTGGAAGTAGCGACCAAATATGTGGGCATATGACTTGATAGCAATAAGGCACAGACATACCTTACCAGTATAGGTAGGATCACGGACGAGCAGAGATACGTTTGCAAAAAAATGTTTCGTTTCCTTCCCTGTTTTGGACATCGTTCTATTTATGTGTGAGTGCGTGCATGCGTGCGTGTATGTGTTTGTGTGTGCGTGTGTATGTGTGTGCTCGTGCGTGTGTGTAATTGCGTGTTAGTGTGTGCTTGTGTGTGTGTGCCTGCGTGTGTATGTGTTTGTGCGTGTGTCTGCTTGTGTGTGTGCGTGCGTGTGTATTTGTGTGTACGTGCGTGTGAGTATCTGCTTGTTTGTGTGCGTGAGTACGTGCGTGCGTGCATGTGTATGTACACACACACACACACACACACACACACACACACACACACACACACACACACACACACACACACACATATATATATATATATATATATATATATATATATATATATATATATATATATATATATTACTGTTATAATAAACATCATATGTTGTTACAGGAATTAGTTATTTTCAGACCTGTGAAGATCCGGAGTAGAAGAGGTCTTCAGCAACCTATGCTTGCCGTAAAAGGCGACTGTGCTTGTCGTAAAAGGCGACTAACGGGATCGGGTGGTCAGGCTCGCTGACTTGGTTGATGCATGTCATCGATCCCAATTGCGTGGATCGATGCTCATGATAGCAATCACTGGATTGTCTGGTCCAGACTCGAATATTTACAGACCGGCGTCATATAGCTGGAATATTGCTGAGTGCGGCGTTAAACAACAAACCAACCAACCAGTTATTTTCACAGCATACAGTTTTTTTTAATGAAAATGTTAACAGTGCAGCTGACGGTAATTTACCGGAAGAAAGTACGGAAAAGGTTTACGGTGTTTGATGTAAATACGCATTGGTTAACATAATGTGAAATATCAAGTTGATTACGAAATAGGAAATGTTGATTACGTAAAATGAAAATCTCACAACAAAGAGTTATTTATAATTATGTGAAAATACGATGGCCAAAACCCATGCAGAGGAAAAAACTGTCGCAAAAGGGTGTTTTCCTTGTCTACTCACGACACGCATTGTTTGAAATATGAAATGACCTTTGACCTATGAGTATGTGAATGGGTTTCCGAGGTTGTCATACGAATGTGACGTGGGACGACTGAGTGTCTCATGATTTGATAACGAGTAATCAGCTCTTCATTTTTTTGATACGCCTTCATAATAAAATAAAATAAATTGTTTTATTCATTATATGTTTGTACTTTGTTTACATATTAACTGGTTCAAAATTAGGTTATTGAATATGGTAATGAGATCCGAGTACGTGTGTGCATATGTGAGTGAGTGAGTGAGTGAGTGAGTGAGTGAGTGAGTGACCGGGTTTCGATACCGATTCATGGTGACAATGTGTGAACAACTCCACTTCTGGTGTGCCCTACGTACAATGGAGGGAATTGCTGTGTTTCGTTTGTCGCCCATTTTATCACTATATCTCATATATCAAACAGCTTTACGCTTTTTAAGACGTGAAAAGCACGAGTGAGTCAATTTGATCTAACGCCCCATTGCACGATATTAAAGCGTGGCTGCTTGACGTGGGAGAACACCCAAAGTGATGCAGGTCTGAGATGTTTAACCCTTTGGTAAAACAAACGAGTACGAGTATGGTGACAAACCTAGATCAAAACCTAATCAAAACGGAGCTGAGATTCGAACTCGGTGATTATAGATTTCGGGCCAGCACAGCCAATTGCGGCACCTTAGACAACTGGGCCACCAGTGTACCCCAATTTAAGATAAAACTCAAAGTGACTTTCCACCTAATGATGATAACAGAAAAAGTATTTTTGGACAAACACCGGATTTGCATTTCCGTCTAGCGGATCGTTGCGCGGCTAAGGGAGGCAACTGCGAATTGCAGCGACTAAGTGTCATTACAAACGTTGTGATAACTTAGGGCTGTAGTAATTGTAGATTGAAGCTCGTGGTTCTCAATAAAAAGGATTGTGACCGTTGCCACAATCTCGGCATCACCTGCGTTTAAGGGTTTACGTCAACCGTGGGGTATTGGTGATGAAAATACGTATACAGTGGCACCCTGTTAATCATGTCGTCAATGGATATGGTCCACAATAAAACTTAAATGTTTTAACGAATCATTTGTAGTAATGTCTATTTGATAATGTATATGGTTCCTTAAAGATTTAGTAATCGTCCAAAAGGTAGGGCGTGGGGGTAGCCTAGTGGTTAAAGCGTTCGCTCTTGACAACGAAGACGGGGTCAGATTCCCCATATGGTGTCCACATGCTGGAAAGCCCGACAGTGAGTGAGTGAGTGAGTGAGTGAGTGAGTGCGGTTAACGCCTCTTTAAATTTGATCACTGTTTTGAAAAGCTGAACCTCAGAAATTAAAA